CAGGGGCAGGGGCAGGGGCAGGGGCAGGGGCAGGGGCAGGGGCAGGGACGAGGTAAGCGAGCAGAGGTTGTGGCGAGGGATGAGAGCAGGGAACCTGAAGCTAACAGATTGAAGGAGGCAAGGGAGGAGCCCGGGACATAGGCGTGGACCATCAGAGTTGGTGGGCAGAGGGGGGAAGGGGGAGAAGAGATGTTCTCAACGGGCCACGGGACCAAAAATGAAGAAGGGACATGGTCGAATAGGTGAGCTGACGGGGCAGAGTGGAGAGTAAGAGAAGAAAGTGTAACACGAAAGAAAGAATAGCAGGCAATATGTGAGGTAGGGATGTGCAGGGAGGGATGTAGGGGTAGTGACTGGGACTACGATGGTTCAGGCCAGAGGCCGTCATCGCCCGTGTGTTTTGAGGAAGGAGAGCCGCCCAGATTTCCACCTCAGGATGTAGCCACCCGACCTTAGCAAATCTTTGCACCAGGTTATCTCCTGGAAACGCAGCTGGTGCTCAAGTGAAAGGACGAGGTGCGGGGAGAGGGGTTTGTCCGGAAAGAACTTCAGCCCTCCTGCGCATGTGCGGGGGGGGCCACAAGTTCGCTCACCTCTCACGACCACCAGCACCGAGCTGTAGGTCTGGCCCACGAGGTTGGATGCTGTGCAGGTGTAGAGGCCGCGATCGGACTGCTTGCAGAAAAGAATCTTAAGGACAAAGTTCTCTTGCTCGTCCTCATACACTACGTGTCGCCGGCCCTCGGTCACCAGCTGCCCGTCCTTCTTCCACACCGTCTCGGGCTTGGGCTCGCCGGTCACAAAACAGCTGAGGCGTGCGTGTTTGCCTTCGGTCACCGTGCAGGTGCGCGTGCCAGCGCCGGGTGGAGAAGGGGGGACGCCCTCTGCGCGCATGGCCTCGCGCCGCTGCTGCAGATGCGCCAGGAGGGTGGCGGTGGAGGTTCCGGGTGGTCCGGCAACCTCGGCGTCCGAGTCCACCACGAGAGCGGCGGCAGCGCTGGCGGAGCCCAGCGGGTTCTCTGCTCGGACTTCGTAGGTGCCACCATCGCGAGGCCTGGCCGACCGGATGCGAAGCGCGCTCGCCTCGCCGTGATCTTCCACGCGCACATGGGGGGCATCGGGTGCGCCCAGGCGCCGCCCATCTTTGGACCAGCTCACAGCAGGTTGTGGTGAGCCGCCAACGCGACATCGGAAGGTGGCGTCCGCGCCCTCGCGCACTCGAATGGATGTGGGCCGCAGCAGAAAGTGGGGCGCCTGCTCAGCACACGTGCCCTCGGAGTCCACTCGCAGGCCTACGGCGGCGAAGGCCTCCCCTATGGCGTTCCTCGCGCGACACACATACTGCCCGCTGTCACCTAGCGCCAAATCGAGGATGGTGAGGCGGTACACATCCCCGTCCTGGGCCAGGCGGAAGCGTGCTCCTGCCTCCACTGGCTGCCGATCCTTCTCCCAGCTCACATGTGGCGTGGGGTTGCCCACGATCTGGCAGCTCAGCGTGGCATCCTTGCCAACAGATACCACAAAGGCCTTTGGCCGCGTCAGGAAGCGGGGTGCTCCGCTGAAGGAGTGGTCCATGATGGCGGCAAGGTTGGGGGACTACAAAAGGCAGAGATGAAGGTCATGATGGTGTTGAGATGAGCCAGTCGCCTGTTCGACTCTTCCTCCTCATCCAGTGTTACCAGAAGAGGCCAATTTAACTAAATGGACACCTCCACATGGGTTACCTCCTCACCAAGTGTCATTTTCTCCTCCACTCCCAAGCCACTCTAGTGGCTCCAAAGTCCAGCAGTTCAGACTGGCCCCTTTCTGTGACTTGAAAGTCTAGGATCTTCAATTACCTTGATGTGCCACCACTCTATGCCCAACTCCAGTCTCTCAACCCAAAGTGATGTCACCTGAAGTGGGGTTCATGCTAACAGAGGTGCCCTCACTGACTGGGCTGCATATAACCCACTAGCACCTTTCTGCCCGCAAACTGCCAATCCTTGGGGAAACCCTGGCCCCAGGTAAGAGCAGGGTGTATGAGCAGTGTAACCAATGGCTGCAAAGGGCAGCAGGAGGGTCCCTGTAGTCTGTGACCAGTACAGCCAGCTTCTCCCTACAAGAGCTGGGCACCAGCTGGACCTAGCTAGCCTGGGGCCTGATGGCCTTGTCACTATTCGGTCCTTAGCATGGTCCTGTCAATTTGGATTCCCCCTTTAAGAATGTGATTGCATGCCCCAGTCCTCCTAAGAACCATCAGCACCCAAATAAGGCTGGCCTCTGCCCAGTCAAGGCTTAGCCCCAGCCAAGCTGCCACTGATCCAGTGAGTGGGTGAAATTACCTGCTTGCAGTGGGTCTTATATAGGAACAATGAACACTGCAGCTGGCTCAACAAGCTAACCTCCTCGACCTCTGGCAGATATGGGTACCCCAGTGGAGAGACCTCAGCCTCTGCATCTCTCTGCTTTGACACAGCCTCCAGTCTCTCAGCCTGGACTGTCTGACATGGGACCAGTCAGTTGATAGGTTTATGCTCCTTGACCCTCCAGCTTCCAGTCCTGTGATTCAGGTAGCTAATCCCCTAATCCTCTTCCAGGAGACTGATCCTGGACTAGGACTGGGCAGCACTGGCTGGTTTGCTGACTCACTGTCCACTCAGCAGCTCTGTCCCCCACCCACAAACATCTCTTTGGGTTCGGATAGGGCCGTCAGGCAGCACCAACTGGGCCCAAGTCCAGCCCCCGGAGCTGCCTTTCAGCATCTGTTCCACAGAAAGTCTGTCTTGACATCAGCTTTCAGGGGCCTTGAGTGCTCAGTCTGTAGATCCCCAGAAGCAAGGCAGGACACCTTATGCCTCTACCCACCATCCTATGCATAGGCTGGCCCAGCCAGAGACGCATGAACAAGAGTATGCAAACAGCCTGGCACACACATATTTAAAGGGAGCTGGGCCCAGCCTCAGCAGGTCCACAGGCCCTGGATTAGAGATTTCAGAGCCTTCCTAGGCCTCCACAGATGTTGCCCCTGGGTCTCACTGTCTGTTCAAGGGCTGTATTCCCTCTACAACTATGCTACCAGTCAGTACCAAGTCACTGGCCACTATTAATGGGTTCAGAATGACAGCCTCAGAGCCCCTCGGCCACACTGTCAAGCAGGTCTGAGGCCAGAGAAGGGCTCCCAGGACTGGGGATCTGTTCTCTTTCCTACAGATGAGGAAACCACAGTGTGACAGACACTTCCAGAAAATCTATCCCCAGGGAGGCCCCTCCTCTTGCCTGTTTTGGGCTGGAGGCTGCATCTCCTAAGCAGGAGGGGTACAGGTGGACATCCCTAGCCTCTTAGAGGAGCCTCTTCCTCCTAGAAAGTCAGCTCTTCCTTCCTTACCCCCTCCTCACCCCAACAGGTGACTTGGTCTACTCTGCTGCCTAAGGTGGTTTTCAGGAGCCCCTGACACTCGCTCATGCAACTGGCCATACTGTAACCCAAACCCTACACAACTTTAACAGAATGTGGCTATTCTGCTTCTTGCAGGGTAAACCAGTTTTCTGGATGAACCAAGTGGGAGGTGACACACAGACTGGGTCTAGCTAGCCTGGGGCCTGATGGCCTTGTCACTATTCAGTCCTTAGCAGAGACTACCCCCTCCCTGGAACTCCATCTTGCTGGCCTTTCCTCTCCTCTACACCACTCCAAGAGCGAAGGCCTGTGGCCCCCATGCCCTTCTAGAATGAATTTCCAAGGGCAACCCCTGAGCTCAACCTCACCTTAGACCCCGGGCCTGTGACTTCCCCCACTCCCCGGGAAATTCTTTCCTGGAGTCAAGTGTCAGTGCCCCTCTGGCTGTCCCCTCCACTGAGCCAACAGGCCCAAAATAGCCCCAGCTGTCAGCGGGCATCCATCTCGGAAGAGCTGGGGGGGCAGGGACACCAGACCCCCAGGCAATAGGGAGACTAAGGGGTAACCCAGCCAGGCAATAGTTGCACAGTGCCAGTCACAGCCCTCCCAGACCCCTCAGGGCAAACTGCCCCTTCCCATTCTGAGATCCCAACTCAGAGTCACAGAAGAGCCCAGATCTGGCATCTGGCCCACTCTCTTCTCAGGGAGGGGCCCAGGATGACTGAACCTCTAAAGTCCCCAAGTTCCACAGAACACCATGACCTTCAGCCCATCTGACCTCAAGGAACGAGAGATGGCTCTCACGGCAGCTCAGCTTCCTCACCTGTGTCTACCAGGGGTTGGGGCAGCACCCAGGCAAGGGGCACAGATGGTGAGTTGGGGGCTGCTGGGTCTGCCTCCTTCCTGGGGCCCAGGACGACGTGGTTCCCACCCAGCAGCCCACACTCCAGCCGGTCCTCAGACTGGACAGGGACGAAAGGACAGGCAAACGCTGTCAGCTGAAGAAGGCTGGGCCCGCCCCTGCCCCACCCCCATTCTGGTCAGCCCAGCCCAGCCTAGCTCCAAAATAGCCCTGGTGTCACTGTCCAGGATTCAGTTTCACACTCAGCCCTAAGGAGGCAAAGGGCAGGTGGTCAGGAGCAGGAAGACGCCTGTGTCCTCCCAGTGTGATGAGGGGAGTGGGGAGAAGAGTAGCTGGTCCAGCTTTCCTCAGGCTAGCATCCTGGAGTGTTGGTGGGGAGAGATCCTAGGGTCTCAGGATGGTGCCAAGAGGGTCCAGTCAGCAGTCCTAAAGACTTGGTACTACCATCCAGGGACTCAGGACCACCACATGGAACCAGGACTACATCTAAGGGACCACAGGACCACTTGGGGGTCTAGAATCACCCAAAGACTCAGGAGCACTTTAAAGGAGCCCATGGGCACCCAAGGAAACCAGAACATATAGAAAGACTAGGATGAACCCAAGTCTGCCCTAAGAAGGATTGAGGATCAAGTTTATTCCAAGAGACTAGGGCAACCTGTTCTGCTTCCCACCTGGCCTTCCTGGGTCCCAGCAGTGTAAGGGGACAGCCAGGAGCTATATACACTGACCCTTGACTCATACCTACTCTGCCCTGTCCACACCTCTGACCCAGGCAACCTTGGCCCTTGTGTCATGCTCAGGATATCTGGATCTGTGGTGGCTTTAAATGAGAGTAGAACCCTAATAAAAATGAAGGGCCAAGGGGTCTGACTCTGGGGTAGAGCTGGGCACTGGCACTGCTTACTGCTTGATGCCCCGGGCAGGCCTGTCCATTCTTCCATTGTGGATTTTGGCAGTGCCTGCTGCTTCATGTCTGAAGCAGGCCTGCCCATTCCCTCAAACCCAGGAACAGATGCGGACATTGTGTAGACCCTGCCTAGGGAGAAGATGAGCTGGCAGCAGGAAAGCCTGGAATTGGGGGAGAGCTGGTAGGATCCTTGGTCTTTCCTAACCCATAGGGAACCAGGAGTGAGGGAAGTATACAGCTCTCCCTGCAGGCCTCATCTAAAGATATGGGGAGTCAGGGGGGAATGCCAAAGCTTTTTTCTTGTGGCCCATATACCCTCTAATAGCTGCCAGTGCCATGGGATCCAGAGGAAAAGTCAGCTGGGAGTAGTCAGCTGGGGGCTGCTTCTTACCTCCTGTCTTCCCCTATTCTGGAGGCAAGGCCAGGGTTCTGAGATCTGTGCTAAGGACCCTTTTCTAACTAGTATCTCCAGTCCTTGCCTGACAGAGGGGGCAGGAGCACTCTTGGGGTCCCTGTTTAAGTACATCCATTCTACCTCAAAAGTTTTCTTTCTTATGGACTCGTTATCTCTCCAAAAGTCCCACACCCTAACATTGGTACTATGGGGTGGGGGAGCTTAGCATGTGCACTTTAAAGGAGACAGTACCTGATCTCAATAAGGAAAGAAAGACATGGAAAATACCAGGCCCAGGAGCAAGATCCTGAAGAGCCATGGTTGTTGCACAAATATGGGCAATTATGGGTGTGTGGCGTGTGAGCATCAGTGTCTGCACAGGTGTTAGTCCACATGTGTGTACACCTGTGAGTGGGTATGGAGACACCAGCGGCATGCATGCCTCATGCCCTCCTAGGGCACTCATGGCAAGACAAAGGAAACATCCAGGCTCCCCGGCTGCCTCCAGGGCCTCCTGGGAAAAGTAGGTTCCTCTTTTGTTTGGAATCTTGTTTTGTACCCTGAGCTGGCCTTAAACTCATGATCCTCCTGTCTCAGCCTCCTGAGGGCCCGGATTTCAAGCACATAATATCAGGCCCAGGTTCTCTTAAGTCCAGCGTGGCCCTGGCCTCTTGGTGGTCCTCACCATTATCACAGTGGCTTATCCATGAAGTACCACCCAGCCGCATTTTCTGTCCCCCAACCTGAGTCTAAGTCTAAGATTTCTAAAACTGCAATGACCCATGCAGCCTTATGTATCGTCCATATATCTGAGGCTAGGGGACTGGGTCCTCAGCCAGGATCTGTCCTATTCCTCGCTTGAGTCTTTTAATAAAAGGGCCGTTCCCTGAGTCTCTCTAGTCAATCAAATGCAATAGAAAAGCAGATTCTGACTCCAAACCCACCAATTCCCACACACTTCCAGGGATTCTCAGAGCTGGGATGTTTCTAAGGAGAGAGGATCATTGATGGAACTGAAGGGAACACGGCC